GACTCGATATTGGCCCATGACCCACATTCGCCCGATCCGCTATATAATGTGATCCTCTTTGACCCGACCCGCAATTGACCCGTACCAATCCTGACCCGACCCGCCCAATAAACAGGTCTAGTGCTAATGTAAATAAGGCCATTTCACACGCGTAAACAGTATGTGAACATCACTACCCTTTCAAAACTCACAAATAAAGTTACTGTTTGAAATCTACAGTGCATATCCATAAATGCCATTGTTTTTTTTTTTTGGTTTGCTTTTGTAATTTTTTTACTTTTTTGGGTTTTGCTTTGCTGCCTTGTGGTTGGTGCGAGTCAGCTTGCCTTTCGTGGATTGGGCATTTGTGTGCCCACTTTATTTCTTTTTGGTTTCCTTTTTTGGGTGTCGTTTTTTATTTGTTCTTTTTCTTTTCTTTTTTATTTAAGCGTTATTTTTAAAATTAGTTCTTTTTGGGTTCCTGATTATTGTGTATTATAGGTTTCTTTTTTTCTTCATTGCCTATTAATTAGCTTAATATTGATTATCACTTGGTTGTTGGGCAGCTTAGTGTTGTAAAGATTAATTGCTACAGGAAGTGTTTGGTTTTGCTTGTAGAAATGTGGTCTTCCATGTTTTAAGGTTCATGTCATGTGTGATACTTTTTGGTTTGTTTGACTGCTAATAAAGCTTGAATTTAGAAAATGTTTCTTTATTCCTTGAGTGTGTACTTATACTGGATATATATATGATTCACCCTCTTGTAGTGTGTCTATCACGTGCTATTTTGCATCTAATTTCTTCTTTTCTTTTGGTGTTCTAGAGCTTACGCTAAAGTGATTATAGTTCTAAACAAGGAAGCTCAGGTAACTTAAATCTTATTAATTGTTTGAGATGGATATGTTTGTTACATATGTATCTTTTTTATTATTGCATTGTTATGGTTCGTCCAAGAACTGCCAAGAATTTAATGGACCGAAACTATGACTATCAGTGACAAATGACAATTCCATACACTACAGGACTGTGACAAGGACAAACCAGATATTTCATTATAATTTGTATATTGATGGATGTATTGTCTATGTTATGTTTTCTGTTCATGTAGTAGAGTTTATGTGTTGGACCGTTGTTTGGCTTTATAAATTGGGTCTATAAAATAGGCTATTTTTCATGAGTTTTAGAGAATCATGTTCGTTTATTATGAATTAGTGCTCTTGATTGTCTTCGTCTATGCACTGATTGTTATAAACAATGAGAATGGTTAATTTCAATTTACTTGCTTTTTTTTGGTGGGGGGAAGGGGTGTTCTGTTTGAAATATGAGTCATTGGTCAGTTGTTATCTTGGGTGAGTTGATGAATAATGTTGTGTATTTTGTTCATGGAATGTAGTTTGTGTCATGAATCATTTTCTGTCTTTCTAAATTTAATCTATCTAATGGGTTGTTTTTAATGAGTTTTAGAGAATCATGTTTATTTTTTTACAAGTCAGGTGATTTTGATTGTCTTTGCTAATGGACTGAGTGTTGTAAATAATGGTTATTGGTAGCCTTTTAAATCTGTTTTCTTCTGTTTTAGATTTTGATCTTTGTGATTTTGTCATGAAATGTGGCCTTTAGTTGTCATGGAATGTGATCGTTAGTTCAGATTTTTGGGCTGCTGGTTTAATGTCATGTGTTGTTTGGAGAAGAGCATAATCTATTTGATATGCTATTTGTTTAGAGGGGGGGGGGTGTTCTGTTTAGAATATGGATCATATGATGGTTAGACTTTATTTTTGGTATCATGTGAACTATAGATATGTGCTTGTTTTTAGTGCTGGTGTAAGGCAGTTTATTGGTAAAAGTAGTGTGTGTTTTGTTTATTTATTTTGAAAAGTGTCCTGTTTTAAGCATAGATAATGATTGGTTTGCTATGCAGTTCTGTAGCTGCCTATGATTTATAAATAGTGTATATTCCATGTGTTTCTTGTTGGTTCTTTCTGTTCCTTTTTCAAGCTGTATATAGAAATCTATCATACTGTTAGAGGGTGGTTTGCTGCTATAGGTTAGAAAAACAACTTGGCTTCTTAGAGTACTTGCATTAGGCTTCTAATGAATGTTTAGAGTACCTACATCAGAGAAATCTCTGATAAGAATCATGGCTTCAGCAACGGACTGATTGTCTTATAATTATTTACAGGTCATGGACTTACCACCCACGCAAGTAGTGATGTCTTTCCGTCCTCTTCTAAAGCAGATTACCGGTTACTTGAACTTCCCTGATCCAGATTACCAGTTTGTTGATGAACCTGGAAGCATTGCTTGTGTGATCATAAAAACAGATTGCGGTCCCATTGCTTCTGTTTATATTGGGGGTCATACTAAGAGTATAGAAGAGTCATGTGAAGTGGCTGCTAGGAAGGTTGTCTATGATCTTATGAAAAAATATGATATAGTTGTTGAGGATGTGACCTACTTAAAGAAACAAATGTATGACCCTTGTAATAATTGATGCTAATTATAAGGTGACGACAGTTAGGTTTGATGCCATCCTATGTACCTTAGAGAGGGAGAGCTATTTAGGTGTCAAGGAATGAGTGTTAGGCATTAAGGAGCAGCTAGAGCCTTCCGCAGTTCTTATTGAGCAAGACTGTCTTACTCCTCTTGGACAGGAGTTTCAGGGTCATGTATTTATTCCACCTCTTTTACCTCCTAAGAAATGCCTGCAGCGGCATATATATGCAGAAACAAGTCCTGTTCCTGATTCTGATTATGAGATGGTTTCGGTGTTCCCAGTGCCAGAAGATTTAGAAGGTTGTTTTAAGCGTGCAAAGTTTGTTAAGAATTAGGAGCCTTTAGTGTGTATTTGGAAATTAGTACTGCTACGGATGTATTGCTTAGCTCTTTTTGCTTTTTTTATTGAGCTAAGTTACTGATATACGACTAAGACTATGTTAGGGCTATCTTATATGCTTTTGTATGGTGTTAGGACTATGCTAGGTGTCATTATGTAAGGGTTTTTTTGTGATAAGTTGTTCTACAACTAAACTTATGTATTTTATTTGCTGAAATAATGTAATGGAGTTGGTTGAATCCTTTCTAGTATGAATTCTGTTGAAAGTAATATTTTGGTCTCTAAAATATGCAGTCTTTATGTATGCCCATTCTTTTATTATTATTGATGTTAGTTAGTTACTCATGACATGTTATACCATGGAACCAGGATTGATGTACTGCAGCTATTCAACTCTTGGACTTACAATTAAGTATTTGCACAACAGTAGTAATTGTAGCTTGATAGTTGGTATACAGCTATTTACATATGAGTATGTCCTGCACCATAGCTTTGATATTTCATAGCTAATTTAAATTTGCAATTTAGTTTTCTAAACATTTTATTTGAATGAGGATCTTACAGATCGTTTGATACGAGAACCATCATCTTCAAAAGGATATCGCACTAAGCGCCTTAAAAGTTTAGAGTCTGCATCTCAGGATGAATTGCAGAGGTATATATACACAAAGAAGTGAATTTCTGTAGACTAATGCATACGTAGACATGTTTTATTAAGGTTATAGATCAGTTAGCATTAGCAATACTTGGTTTTCATACTCACAGAAATACCTACAGTGACACATACATGTTGTATTGCTTTTGCTTTCCTAGGTTACAGGCTCAGCCTGTCACAAAACCTGCAAAGATACCCAAGACTAGACATCCAGTTACAAGTAATTAAATTTATGTTGAGTTTTGTACCATTTCATTTCAATCATGCATGTTAATCAGTATATACATATATGACTGTTTTATGGGCATACTGTGGTGAGCATGGATCCCTGATGCAGCAATCAGTAAGAAATTACCTGCAGAGCCCTACCAACTTTCTTCTCCTACTAAGTGTTTAAAGTGTAGGGCACCCAAATTTGCCTTTGAAACACCTCACTTTTGTTGTTGCGATGGTGAAGTTAAGATTGCTGCAAATGATTACCCTGCAAAGCTTGTGAGGCTCCTAACTTCTATGGATGAAGATGCAAAGCATTTCAGGCAATACATACGCTTGTATAACAACATGTTTGCATCTACATCATTAGGTGGAAAATACGATGCTAAAACCAAAAAAGGGATCTATGTTTTTAAGCTGCATGGTCAGCTATACCATTATATTCCCTATTTACTTCCTGGAAAGGAAGGGCCCAAATATATGAAGCTCTATTTCTATTATGGACAACTTGAAGCTCAAAAACGGCTAGGTTGTTTTATAGAATTAAGAAAAGATGTGTTGGCTATTCTCATGGAAGTTACTAAAATATATCCTTATGCGGGGTTCTTTCGTTCGTTGAGAGAGATCCAAATCACTGAGTCTACACAAATTTTGATAAACAAAACAACTGTACCAGATCAGCGCGTCTACAATGCTCCTTCCATTGATGAAGTTGATGTCATATGGCCAGAGAATGCATCTTCTAGTGAGGCAGAAATCCCCATATTCTGGTAACAGCAAAAAAGGATCCATCTGAAAGGGATTCAGCTAAAGATGCTTCAACTGAAAATGATACTTTTGAAAATGAGTCATCTTATTGTGATCTATCTGGAAAAAAAATCATGTCATAGAATTATGCATTATTATGGCTGTTATGATCCTTTGCAATATCCACTGCCTTTTCCTTACGGTGATTGTGGATGGACTCAAGGCTTAAAAAAATGTCTCGAGGTGGAATTCAGTAATTGCAATCACAGCCTGATCTTGTGGCTTCATGTAGTATTCATACTACTGGAGAGTTACTGGAAGAAGAGGCAAGACGTATGTGCACTATGTTTCCTTGATTATTGAGAAAAGGCAAGAAATTTTTATGTTATCCCCTATTTCTGTTCCGCTTTTAACTAGAACACAACATCTGTATTTGTAGGTGCAAATGGAGGTTCTTCAAAAACAAATAGGAACATTTTAGCTAGGGAATATTGTGCGTACAAGCTTCAGTGCAGGCCCAATAACATGCTACTAAGAGCAGGTCGATGCTTTCAGTAGTCTATAGTAGACATGTATGTGAAAGTGGAGAATACACGGTTGGATTTTCGAAAAAATCAGCATACTATAAGAGCAGATCTCTATCAAGGAATCCTAGATACTATTAGTTGTGGAGAAAACTGTGCAGCAAATGTGGGTCGTAAAGTCATCTTACCACCAACATTCATTGGTGGTCCTCAAGACCTTAAAAAGAGGTACCTAAATGCAATGTCATTAGTTCAAAGGTTTGGTAAGCCTGATCTCTTCATTACAATGACTTACAATGCTAATTGGCCTGAAATTAAACAAGAACTTGATGTTGGAGAAAAAGCACAAGACAGACCAGATATAGTTGCAAGGATCTTTAGAGCAAAAGTTCTTGCTTTAAAGCATCTGATAATAAAGAAAAACGTATTTAGAGAGGTTGCAGCAATGATCTATGTCATTGAATTCCAGAAGAGAGGCTTACCTCATGCTCATTTTTTAGTCATTTTAAAGCAAGACTACAAAATCAAATGCCCTTCTGATTTTGATAAATTTGTATGTGCTGAAATACCATATGTTGCTAATAGCTATCTTAGGAAAGTTATACTCAAGCACATGATGCATTGTCCATGTGGTCATTTGGATCCAGATTGTCCTTGCATGAAGCACAAGGAAAGTCGTGGTCGTTGTAAGTATGGTTACCCAAAGCAGTTATGCGATGAAATAAGGAATAGCAGGGATGGTTATCCAATGTATCGAAGAAAAGACACAAGAGAAACTGTTACAGTTCAAAAAATAGTAATGGATAATAAATGGGTAATTCCATATAATCCATATCTTTCTTCACATTTTGACTGTCACTTAAACGTTGAAGTTTGCTCTACAATAGAGGTTGTCAAGTATTTCTATAACTATGTATATAAAGGCCATGACATAATATCTTTCAATGTTGTTCAGTTTAAAGATGTTGTGCCTGCCCAGGATGAAATAGAACAGTATCAATCAGGCCGATGGGTTTCCCCCTGTGAAGCCGCTTGGCGTCTTTTTGGTTTTGATATGTACGAAATGCTTCCACCAGTTTTGCCTCTTCCTGTAAATTTACCCAATTCTCAAATAATCCAACTTAGGCCTCATGAACAGCTGACATTAGTGATTTCAGATGATAAGCGTTCTAGGACATGTCTTACAGAGTTCTTTCGAATGAATGCTAAACTACCTTCTGGAACAGGATTACTATACAATGAGTTTTCAGAGCACTATCATTGGGATGCATCTGACAAGTATTGGTATAAGAGACAGAATAAGAAGATAGTCATTGGTAGGTTGGAATTTGTTGGACCTTCAGAAGGAGAAAGGTATTTTCTTAGATTATTGTTGCATAATGTTAAGAGTCCAAAGTCATTTGAAGATCTGCGTACAGTTAATGGTCATGTATTTTACACCTTTCATCAAGCTGCACTTAAATTAAAGTTATTAGAAGAAGATGATTCAGTTGATTTATGTTTGAAAGAAGGGTGTGATGTTCAAATGCCACTTGCAGTTCGCAAGCTCTTTGCAACTGTGCTTATATTTTGTCAGCCTAGCGATCCTGTCTCTCATTGGATGAAATATTATACCTTTCTGTCTGGAGATTTTAAGCATAAGTATCCTTCTAATCCACAAAAATTTAGGCATCTTATTGTTAAATCAGTTGAGTGGTTCTTAGAATCAATGGGGAGTTCTCTTGCTAAATATGGGTTAGACCATTTAGTTGAACCTAATGATGATGAAATACGCATAACAAAAGACATAGATGATGCATTGAATGCTCCAATACCAGAACAATGTCTGGAATGCAAAAATCAATTGAATCAGGCTCTACGAGAGGCATTTGATGTGATAATGGATCATGTTACAAGGCAAGTGCCTGGAGCTTTTTTCATAAATGGTCCTGGTGGAACAAGCAAGACCTTTTTATATAATGCTTTATATGCAGAGATAAGACTCATGAATAGCAGCATCTAATATTCCTTCTGGAAGAACTACACATTTGCGCTTTAACATTCCACTCGATCCTCTTGAGTCACGTGCATGTAATGTGCCCAAGAAAGGTAGTCTAGCTGCACTACTAAGAGAAACAACACTCATCATTTGGGATGAGGCTTCGATGGCAAAAAAAGAAAATGTTGAGTCACTTGATGAGTTACTTAGAGATATATGTAATCCTCACTTACTGTTTGGAGGTAAAATTGTTGTCTTTGGAGGAGATTTTAGACATGTTCTTCCTGTTGTCTCCAAAAAAACACAAACTGAAGCAGTTGCTGCTAGCTTGGTTAGCTCTGCTCTATGGCCACTATTAGTGAAATTTAGGCTGAATGAAAATATTCGAGCTAGGCATGATCCAGTGTATGCAACTTTTTTGCTGGCACTTGGAAATGGGGAGCTGCAGGATACTGAAAATGCATTTGTTCAGCTGCCATCAGAAATTATACAGCCTTATTATGCTGCCACACCTCAGGATCTGCGTTTGACTTCAGTTGCTTTTCCAAAAATGGATATGCCTCCGTTTAGCGATGATATATTAGAGCTATACTAACACCAATCAATGACGACGTTGATGCTATAAATGATATATTGATAGACAAGTTCCCTGGTGAAGTTGTGGTCTACAAGAGTTATGATTCAATGATTGATGATAATTGTTCCATATACCCCATTGAATTTCTAAATAAGCTCTGTCCTGGTGGCATGAGTCCTCATGAGCTTATATTGAAACCCAATAGTCATGTTATCCTACTGCGTAACATTCTGCCATCATCTGGTCTTTGCAATGGAACGTGCCTGATATGCAAAAAATCTTTCCATATCTCATTGAATGCGTTATTGATGTTGGCCATTATAAAGGAGAGCATGTACTGATACCAAGAATTAATCTAAGACCATCATAATCCTCAGCTTATCCTTTTCAGTTTCAGAGAAAACAGTTCCCCTTAAAGCTAAGCTTTGCAATGACTATCAACAAAGCTCAGGGGCAAACACTTAACAAGGTTGTTAGTTGCCACGATCATGCTTTTCACATGGCCAGCTATATGTTGCGCTTTCTCGGGCTCGACAAGCATCTAATGTCAGTGTTATAACTGACATGAATGCTGATAAACCAAGTTTGGCTCATGTCATAAATGTAGTATCCTATGATGTTCTGCATTTGGCTGGCATCATCTAGCTACATCAGTGAGTGATACCTTTCCATTTCTTAGCTTTATACTTTTTTGGATGGATTTAATAATTTTACTAATTTACTTGATTTATGTTTCCTGCTGCAGGCTATACTATTTTGCAATAAAGGTTCTTTTTTTGAGCATGTCATAGTTCATCAATTAGCATACTAGTTAACCTTCAAATTATAATATGTTATTTATCTATATGGAAAACTTTTAAATCCATTATTTTGAAGTTAGGGAAACTTTATCAGATTGCTAACATCTTCTAATGTGCATTTTTTTCATCTTTGCAGTGCTTAAAGAATATCTTGCTAAAGGTACAACCATAATATATCTGAATCAAGTCTGGTGGATGCATTTCGCACATCTGACTTATCTGAGAATTGAGGCCTCAAGTCTGGTGTATAACTTGCTTAATTAATATGTATGAGGCTTCAACCATAATATGTATGAATCATAATCCAGCTTAAGCCTCAAGTCAGATGTATGAATCAAGTCAGATAAATGTTAACCATACATATATAGTTCAGTAGATCAACCAATACTTTCTGATCAGTTGGTTTTTTATAATTGTAATGATAAAATGAAATGTTGTAATATTTATTATTTATTTAGATGTTTGTCTTCGTATTTTATGGAACCAATCATATTCCATTCGAAAGTATTCTAACAAAAAAGTCATTTCATTATTAGTGTACCCTAATAATCTTTCCCGTGTGACAAGCTAATAAGCTTTGAAAAATTAGATTTAAGAAACAACAATACAAAGAAAGATTTTGAAGGGGAAAAAACATACAACATAAATTTAAAAACTAGGTAAGATAGTAAAGGTTTTGCAAAGATTTCTAATCAAGAGCACAAACACTGTATAAAAGCTACTCTTTACTAGCTACCCAGAACATTCTAGATTCATGGCAGATGAAAGATTAGTAATAAAAAAAAAAGAATGCAGAGAAAAAGGCATAGCAAAAAAAGGGGAAAAAAATAATACATATATACAGGAAATTAGTTATGTACTTACACATGGACTACATCTCATACTAACACATTTCATCCTTCTATAAATTTATGCTACTGTCTTTGTTTTTAAAAACTTACTACACACATGGACAAAAAAAATTATGTAAAGCATGCAATTTCAGCCTAGAGATATCAATATAGATATGGAACTCCATATTTAAATATTATTCAAGTACATCCTATATGTATAAAATATACAAATAGCTATTTTAGGAGTAAGGCTTGCTGATTTATGGAAGAAAAAACAGCCGACCACTATTACACGAAACAGTACCATTGAATTCTTGATTTTTTCTTTGATTTCCTTTTTTTTAAAGATGTACTATAAAAACATAAGAGACCTTAGGTATTTTTATTCCTCGGAAAATTCAATATATATCTCTGCAGTAGACCATAGAAAGGCAAAGCAAAGAAAAGTATACAAGGAGGAAGCTATATTTTATTCCATAAGCATTAAAACCTCTGCTTTTGGGCAGGTATGATCAGTCTAAACGCTATTTCACTCCATTTATTTTAGAATTTCAGTTGATTTGATTCCGAATTATTACTAGCTGAACATTCCATCTATAGATTGCATTTATAGTAGCATAATATTCTTCCAAAAGTCTTAGCTGCAGTGTAAGAAAAGTCATTATTTGTTTGGATGCATTTAGAGCTTCAGAATTACATATGCATAGATATTTATAAATGCTTTCTCATGCTTAAGCTTAATTGGTATTTTACATGTGAGAACCAGCATATATATGAATTTATTCATCACAATATAAAAGGGCAAGCACTTTTAGTACATCCATAAATAAAATTAGCAACCACTATATCAATTAGTTTAAATTAATGATAATGTTGCTATATATTATAAGATTATAAAATTAATTAGCATCTTTGGTTACATATCTAAGTTACTAGATTAATTTTGTAATCTAAACAGACTAAACATGCTATACACCTTAGAGATAAACATGATAGAATTTTGTAATATAGCTTAGGTGCTAAACATGTTTGGCTCTATATTACAAAGTTGCAAAATAATTGTTTTAACACTAAACTAAGCTGATTATTACATTCATTTCATTTTAGATAAAGTATGAACCTATAAAAGTGACTTTAATATATCTTAGATTTTATGTATGAGAATTCCATATGTCAAAGGCACTTCTAAACTGAATCTTCTTATAGTGTAGACATATTATGAAAAAAAAGATTCATTAATTTACTAAACAAGAATAATACTCTTCGGTTCTTTCCTTTTAAAATCCAAATTATGAAGAATCAGTATTTTTATTGCACATTATGGAAATGTTTAGCTTTGTATCATAAGATTATAAAATAGATGTTCTAACACTAAACTAAACATACTCAGATTCATTTGATTTGCTTATTTTAAAAGTTGTTATCATTGATTATATTTTCATACAGTTTATCACTGAAATATTATTAAGATTAGAAGTATTTGTAACAATCATATATATATCAAGAGATTAGAATACATGTGTTATTAATTTTATATATGATTACCATTTTAAAAAGAGTCTGATAAATTAAGGAATAGAACTCATTAGTCATCATACATGTATGTATTCAACCAAAACTAATTTAGCTTTCTGGTTATATTGTGTACAGAAACTTGTCATGGCACCACAACGAAAGTTTCTTGATGAACTCGATACATCGAGTAAATCATACAAGGTAAAAGTCAACATTGCAGAAAAAGGTCGAAAGCAGGAATCTGAGAAGAAAATATTTTACCAGTACATTATCTTACAAGATGACAAGGTATAATCCGCACATGTCATTTACAGATACACACTAATATTATAATGAATCATCATGCATAATTATATCTTAAAGTATTATTTTCTTTCTCTTACAGAAAAATCGGATGAAGATGACATTATTTGGTGATCAAATTGATGCATATAAAGATGTCATCTTGTTTAGAGGGAACTATGAAATTGTTAATGCCTTAATAAGGCCATTAGATCCACAGTACAGGGCTAAAGAAACAGATCTTCCATTTCAAATGACTATAGGCAGCAGAACTCTCATCCAGTTTTTGGATCCTGAAGGAGAGCAAGTATTTCCTAGATACCAGTCTCTTGCTTCTATTCCAAAAGTTTGCCTTGATGATTCTCGACATGGTAATTTAAATATCCTGCTATCTTGCTTTAAATATCCAAAATTTTCAGCTTATCCCATTAAATAATTTACAGCAATTTTCTCTTCTGTTTTAGATATCCTTGTGATTGTGCTATATGTTGCAAAGGAACCAAGAAAAATTATAACAAGTCTGAATAAAGAATCTTTTGTGCGGGACCTGATAGTGATAGACCATAGGTGATTTCATTTCTACTTTCAATAAATAAAATTTCATTATAGCAGCACAATACTTATGATAATTTGACTCTGATATTTATGCTTTTGCTTTACTTTCAGCACTGATCAATCGATGAAAGTCTGTACCTGGAATGATTTATCAGGAAGACAATGTGAAGCTCTTGTTTCTGATACTGACAATTTTAAGGTTATTGGCATCACAGCTCTGCGTCCTATCACTCGCAAAGGTAGCTCATAAATCAGCCTACTGATTATATGATTTACTTAATTTATTCCATTATCAATCAAACAATAAATATCTCCTAATGTTCTAAACTTACAGGTTTCCAACTTGAATCAACCATGTCTACTGTGATAATCCAAAACCATGAAGGTGAAAAAGCAGCCGCATTGACTTAATGGTATGATGATTAACATTCACCTTTAAAACAAGCAGACTATACATATTTT